TATAGGCTGGACATTTCTGCAGGAGTTCATGTTGCAGTATTGGGTCTGAAAGCAGTCTGGAGGCAAAATTCCTTCTTATTTGGGGGACCTTAGTCTCTTATCTAAAAGGCCTTCAACTGATTGAATGAAGCCCACCCACATTATGGAGGGCAACCTGCTTCAAAGTCTACTGATTTAAATGTTAATCACATCTAAAAAAAATACCATCACAGCAATATCTAGATTAGTATTTGACCAAACAATTGGGCACCATGGTCTAACCAAGTTGATACATAAAATTAACCATCACACCTCCCCTTTTGATCACATCCCACCAAGTGTGGCATCTTACCTTCTAGTTCCTACCTTTCCACTTCCCAGTGACTTATGACTTTCCCCTCTCCCACGCCACGCTTATCCATCTTTACCTCTATATTTATATCTAGATCTGCACTGTTTAACACTGTAGCCACTAGACATGTGTGTCCTTGAAATTCTAAATTTTCATACTTAAAATTAAATGAAATTAAAAACTCAATTCCTCAGTTGCACTAGCCACATTCAATTGCTCAACAGCTACATATGGCTAGAGGCCACCATATTGGACAGCACAGAATAAAACATTTCCATCAATGCTGAAAGTCCCATTGGACAGAGCTGCTCTAGATGGTTTGTCACTGCAGCTTTGCTTTCACTATTTAGGCCTCTCTCCTTAGATACTGACTCTTAATTTCAGAGCCCCAGGTTTGCAGTCTCTTTAACTATCTGGGTAGTCACATAAATCCTCAATGAGATAGTGGTGGAAAGATATTTTGATATATTTGTATAATTGTTGCTGAAACAAACAACCCAGAAATATCAGTGACTCAACACAGTAAAGGTTTATTTCTTGCCAAAGACACAGCCCTGTGCTCTTTCAGTCATCCATTCTTCTTCCAGGGCCTTGGAGTTCTCCTTTGGATCCTCTGCATCTAGCTGGCCAACTAATGAAAACTGGAGAAGAGCATGCAGGATGTTTTGGGGCCAGGCCTGGAAATGGCTGTATCACTTCTGCTCATATTTCACTGGCCATATGGGGTCATAGCAATCCATCTAACTGTTAGAAAAGATGAGAAATGTAGTCTTTCTGAGTGCCAAGGAAGAAAATCACACAGTGCATATTTTACACATCTCATAGAAGGAAAATAAAAAATATCGGTAGCTGTGAAATGATGAATTTCAAGGTCATATAGAATGGAGGATAAGAAAAAACGAACTTTGGAACTGGAACAGGTCTGTTTGCAAATTCTAGCACTTTTCTTGAAAGTGTGATTGATCTTAGGCCAGTTGCTTGGACTTGTGTGCCCTCAAAAGACTGTCATGGGGTTTAAATGACGCAATAAATGCTTACACCAGTGTGAATGCTCAATGGCAGGATGGCTTATATACACACATACATGTGACATCACAGCCTTTACCCCTACCTTTGACTTTTGAATCATTGCTACTTACAAACTAAATTTTCTAATAGCACAGGATGCAATGTCTAATATTTCCGTATAGTGATTACAAAATGAAATACTTTCCCATTCTTGTCTGTTATGGGTTGAATTGTGTCCCCAATTCATACGCAAAAGTCCCAATTCCCAGTACCTCAGAATGTGAACTTATTTGGAAATAGGGTCATTGCAGATGTAATTCGTTAAGATGAGGTCATATTGGAGGAAGGTAGGCACCCTAATCCAATATGGCTGGTGTCCTTATAAACAGAGATTTTAGAGACACACATGCACACAGGGAGAATGCCATGTGAAGATAAAGGCAAAGATCAGAGTGACATGTCTACAAGCCAAGAAAGGCCAAAGATTGCCAGCGAACCACCAGAAAGTAGGGGAGAGGCATGGAACAGTTTCTCCCTCACAGCCCTCAGAAGGAACCAACCCCACCAACACCTTGATCTCAAGACTTCTGGCCCCCAAAACTATGACACTATGAGTTTCTGTTGTTTATGCACCCGGTTTTGTGGTATTTTATTATGGCCATCCTAGCAAACTAATACAATATCCAAGTATTTATTGACTCAAATATACAAGATTTAATTTAAAAATTGCATGGTATTAACATTTTAAAATGTAGAGTTCTAATTTCAACATATTTCCCAAACCAATTTTCCATTAATTGATTCAATTTTGAACTACAAAAACAGCAGTTTTTGTGGTTCACCCTAAATATCCATAACTCCTGAGCTTTCCTTGCTGTTTGTTTAATGGGGCTATTAGGGACCCATCTTTTGAACTAGACTCATTAACGCTTCATAGATTACCATCTGTGTGACCTTGGCTCTTACCTGCCCTGAACTTTATTCCTCCGCCAGAAAATAAGGGTGTGAGGCTAGATTCTTTCTAACTTCTAGCTAAGACATTCTGTGGCTTACAGGAAGCTTTGCCAATCTAGGCAGACTTGACAGCCCATGGTTCAGGTAAGCTAAAAGCAGATCTGCTTACAGAAATCAGCTCTGGTAATATAAAGGGATTTAAGAACAATATTAAAAGAGAGTGCTCCAGCAAATTAAATATTCAAATAAATTTCACTGAATTTATTAAAGTCGGTCACCATTTAGAATGCATAATTTTAGCATAAATATTCTAGAAATATTCATTTAATTTGCTATGAGTTATTGTTAATAAAGGGGGTCCTGTATCTAGATTTGTCACATGTCATTAGTAAATCAACCACAGAATGAAAATTATAATTATTTTGAATTATCTATTTACTGTTTAATTGTATTTAATTTTAGACTCTCCTAAAATGGTCTAATAAAACTTTGGGATGCTAAATAATTGCCTCATCTACTTTGTGTATTTACTGAAAATAATTAGTTATATTAATTGTTTGGGGGATTTCCCACCCCCCCCCCAAAAAAAAACTAACCTGGTGAGGATGGATCTAAAAAAATATCCTAAAAGCATGCTTTATTATTTTTTTTGCCAGGGTTGTAGTATAATGTTGTTTGCACTAATATCAATAAGGTAAAACTTTGTACACTACTATGGGATCAATTTGGTATAATGATTTTACTATAACAACTAAATAAAAGTAACATCAGTAGATGAAGATCTGGGCAAGAGGGTCCTTGCCCTGGCTTCTATATTACAAAGCCTGTTCTGGCCCTGTTCTGACCATGTCACTCCATACAAGGCAAGGAGGCTCCAGGGCCAAGGGGGATGCCTGACTGGAGCAGTCTCTCTTTCTCTCAATCTCTCAACCTNCACACACACACACACACACACACACACACACACACACCTTCTAGAACATATTCCAGGTATCCACCACCCTGATATTCCCTGATCAAAGAAACCCAAGCTACTTTCCAAGGCTTTTAAAGACCTCTTTCCTGGGTCTCTCCGGAAAGCGTGACTATCACTGCTGTACATGCCCTTGGGCCTGAAGAGTGGCCAAGAGGAGGCAGAGGTGGGGATGAGGACAGAGCTGAGACTTGTGGACTGGGATGGGAGTAAGGGACGGGGTGAGTGGAACGACACACACATCATTGACTGTGTGTGAAGCTACTCAAAAGTGCAGGACTGAGCAGGCAGTGGCAAATAAGAGGCTGGGCTGGGGAAGGGGTCAGAGAACTAAATCCCCCTATCACTTTTTAGGTTCTTATGAAGGCACATTGGTCAAGATAGGAGGAAAGACATTTTATCTACAATTTGTCATCTTGATCAATATTTTTTAAATATTTCAACAGATGGTATGAGAATCTTTCATACTCCATTCATACTCTTGCCCTGGACCTGGCAAATGTGAAGGAAAGGCTGAGTAATATCATAGTTTTATATTGTTGACCTATAAGTTGTCCATCTCTCTTGCTAATGATCAATTTACTAGTTTAAGTCATACCTTATATATATGTAGGTGAAATTAATGACTGAGACAAGAAACCAAAAGAAATGAAGAATAACAGACTACAAAAACTCTATAGTTTCTTTCTTTTGCCCTATGTGTTTTAAAATATTGCACTCTCTTTGGGAAGCTTTTCCTGAAAGTTCTTGATGATGATGATAAAAATTGATGCTTCCTATGTGCTGGCTCTGTTCTAAACACTTACATACATTACTGAATGTAATCAATTTTAACAGAGGCATAGGTGGTTCCTGCAGTAACATCCTCCCATTTTACATATAAGGATCTCTAGGCTTCAAGAGGGTGACTTACACATGGGTGGTCACACAGCTGGGCAGTGGAAGAAGGGATTTGAGCCCAGGAAACCTGGCTTCAGAATCCTACTGAAGGATTCTACAGGGCATTTGTCCACTGAGGGAGCCTACACAAACAAATCTCAGCTTTGCAAGCAACTTGTTAGCAAGTTTCCCCTCTTCACCAACCCGTAATGTGACCACATCCATTAATGACATCCTTAGGGTAAGCACGGATTTTCAAGTAAGGGGTTATTCTACTGTCAGGGCTGAGCACAGTTGCTTAGTATTTGGGGTTTTGTCTTTTTTGTGGTGTTTTGTTTTGCTTTTAAGTGCTGGAAGGATAACAAGCTTAGCACAGTGCGTGATACTCCGCAAATCCTAGGAAGAAGGGAGGGAGTGGTGGTGGGAGGGAAGGAGAGAATTCACCTTGTAAAATTAACGCAGTTTGAGGCCAAAGACAAAAAACGATCACGTGAATTGCTCCCGCCCAGCCCCCATCCCCTGAGGGGCGGGGATCAGGGGTCGACTTCTGACTTGACCCTCAGAGAAGGGCCCGGGATGAGGGCCAGGGTCTCTCCCGTGAGAATTGGGAAGGGTTAGAGGGAAGGAAGACGCTTGTCTCCGCGCGGAGGCTGCCTGCCTCACCACTGGTCTGTAGCCGCGGGCCTAGGCCCCATCCCACGACGCCCCGCCTCCTCCTCGCCCCTTCACACCGCCCCGCCCCTCAACGACCGCCTGCCTTGCCCCTCCACGGCGCTCCTCCTCCGTCCCTCCCACTTCAGGCCTCCGTCCCGCCCCTTACACTGCGCCGGGCGCCGGGTTTACCCGCGGTGCATTGTGGGGCGGTCACTCGGGCAAGTCGGTCCCACCGCGGACCTGAGGTGGTGCCGAGCAAGCGCGGCAGCGGCGGCGGCATGCGCCGGGCCTCCGCATGGTCCGCGCCCCTGGCGAGCCCCGACCACTACGAGAGGCTAGGCAGCCTCCTGCAAGGGCTGCGGGACAGGTACGGCCGATCGGAGCGGGGTCTGGAAATCGGCGTGCGCCGAGGGTCAGCGAGTGCCCTACCCCCAGTTCCTTCCCAGTACCCCGCCCGTGGTTCTTCTGGGCCCAGGTCTGCCCGCGACGCCCCCCAAGTGGGGGGCAAAGTTTACCAGAGACACCCACCTTACTGGAGGTCTCCCGCTGGAAGATGTGGCCACGTCACTGAATTTGCCCTGAAATGAGAGCGGGAGGTCCCCTGCCTGTCATTCTTAGTCAAGCCTTGGGAATTTCTCTATTTCCCATCTACGCGCTTCCTCCCCAGTCTCTCTTCAAGTTGTCATCCCACCCTGACAGCTGCAATGCAGCAATGACAGGTCCAGGCGCGCGCGTCAAGTATATGCCCTATTTAAATACAGGAGAATTTGGGGGCCAGATTTCCAGCAAAAGAATGAAATTTCCAGTGAGAGAAGTCCAGCTTCCAGAGGGTTCATGATACCTTGATTAATCACTTGATTAAGACATGAAAGATGAGAACCACTGAAAACAGCTAGATCTAAGAACGTGAAGAGAGAAAATTATAAAGTAATTTACTATAAATAACCACTTAAAAGATAAGTTGTTGGAACTATTTAGCTGCTGAATGAATTGAAATTAGATATCTCATTAGTTGACAAGAAAGGAAGTAGATTTTTGGATCTCTTGATAAACAAAACGTTTAATGAGTGTTAAAAGTTACAAAATCATTTTAGTGAAGAGAGCTGTGTGTGACAATTCTAAAATGACAATTACATATAAGGAAAGGCAAAAGTAAGTGATTTTGAAAGGAATTATTTATATTCATCTTATGCTAGCTTTAATTCTTGTCAAATATTTATAGAGCATCTACAATAGGCCTCCTTAATTGTCCTAACCGTATTTTACCTCTTAAGCTTTTTCTACATCTTATTTTCTTTCTGACATACTACTACGCCTCACCCACCCCAGTAACTGCTTCACCTCCAGCTTTTAAAAAGTCACTTCCTGTAGTGCATTCTCTGCAGGAGGTATTGGTCAACCCATTCCCTAACTTATGCAACCTCAAAGTTCTTACAGCCCTCTAGATAATGACTTAAGTCACTTGCTCCCTGTCGAGTAAGAATTCCAGGAGGACAGGAACCATAGCTAGCTGGATCTTTAGCTACTGAGAGAGTACCTGACATGGAGGAGGGGTTTGATAAATGTTTGTTGAATAACTGGAAGAAATCCCAAAGCCAACCAGCTAGTGTCCAGGAATTATGAATATCTTGTATAGACATTGCCACTGAATAAATGTAGCTATGCATTGCCACTAAATAATGACCATTTTCCAGTCAACCAGGAAAACTTGACAGTGTGATATTTCAAAGATGGTATCCAAGTGTCTGCATATACCTGATAATTAAAGAGACAAGACATTTCTCTGTACATCAGTACACTCGAAGTGCTTTTTGACTGTTCTGTTAGAAGAGTAGCTTAGTTGCCCCAGGCCTTCAGATATTTTTATCTCTTAGCCCAAGTTCTAATTTTAAAATGTTATTGGATCAAATGGCAGTCTTTTTTAACTAAGTTAATTGTTAGTTATCATTTTTGCTTCCTATGCTAGAACACCTGACTGTTTATAGTCCTTATGGTATATAACTGGGTAATTATTATTGCTCATTTTATTTTTAACACTTAATGCTTTAACTGTTAAGCAAGCTGAGGCTGTTGGAATTATATAAGAAATTTGAGTCAAATTGTATAGTCTATTCATGGGTCTGCCTTTAGAGGTTTGTTTTATTTTTATGTCAGTGAAAATCTGTTGCTGTGTGTATTCATTTTTTATTTTAAAAGTCTATAACTAATTCTAACACACAATTAATAAATACAGAGGCAAATAACTTTGGATACAGAGAAAACTGCAATAGAAATGTGGAAACCTGGGTCTCTAGTCCATGGACAGTTGTGTGACTTTGAGCAGGTCATTCAGCTTCTCTGAACCTTGGTTCTTCACCAGACATGAAGGGCCTTGTAAAGACTAATATGTAAAGTAAGGCTACAGATTTTTTTCTCTCTCATAGAGTAATGAACCTGAGAATCAAGAAGTTGAAAGATGTAGTTTTGCAGAGCAAAATGAATATCATTGTTTCCTATTTGAGTGTTTGGGTGAGTCTCCCTCCCCTTTTTTTAACCAATTCCAGTGACTTCAAGTACCATTGTCTCCTAAAACTCCAGCATAATTTTAAAGGCTGCAACCCGGGGTATTTCTGCTTTATCAGTTCAGAAATTTCCTACGAGTGAGAGATTAAAACAAAACAAAACAAAAAAAACACACAAAAAAACTTGCCCTTCTTTGAGATTGTTAGCTGATCTAATAATTGGGCCCTTCCATTGTAACGGGTGTATTTCCAGCCCAAATTGTCTTAGCTGTAGTCACATACTTTTATATTCTGAATTTCCTCCTTTTTATGTATGGTATTGTCTCTGCATTGTAGTAAAAGTCAATCATTGAATCTGAAAAAGCCTGGTGAAGTGACTTGTTACAATGTATTTAGTGCTGCAAGCATGGTGGAAACATATAAGTAGAATTGACTGTTACAATTATTGGGCCGGCACATTGATTAAGAGCTGGTTTGGGACGCCAGAGGGCCCCCTTTCGGATCCCACATATGAGGGCCAGTGACACTGCCCTCTACAGCTAAGATGCTGAACAACAGCTCAACCTGGAGCTGGGCTGCCGTGAGTCGCTGGCGACAGTGTAGGCTGTAGCCCCTGCTGCAGTGGGTTGCCATGGGCTACTGTGTGTAGCCAGCAGCCAGCGTTAGCGGCCATCTAGAAGCCGGTGACCGATCTGCCTCAGTCGGGAAGAGTGCAATGATGGTGCCAACTTGGGCCAGTGAAGCAACGTCCTCGTCCTCCACAGCTAGACTGAAGAACCAAAAGGACAGCAACTTGTCTGTTCCCCTTCCCCAAGTCCCCAGTGCTGTTCCTAGCCCCCAATTCCCCAATAAAAATCTTAAAAAAAAGAAAAGAATTGACTGTTACAATTATATAAAAAAACATTCCCTTAAAAGGCCCATTAACAGGATCCAGTTTTTTCAATACCAATATTGATTCAGGGTGAGATATCATAATAGTTCAGAAATTGTCACTGAGGTAGTTGTTGAGTAAAGCTGAAGATGGTACGAGACAAAAGCAGAATAACAAGTGGCTTAAAAGAGAAAACTATACCACATGGCTACTCTTTAAAAACTGCCCAGCTGTGTCTGTGTAAAGCTTAAAAAGATTTGTGGATGGGGGATGTAGGTGACTGAAACCATGGACTGTTGGTACATATCCCAGGACTGGGTGTTTCAAAAATTCTAAAGTAGAGATTTAACATGTAGGTTTTGCAAGAGGATCCTCCCCAAAAGTCTTTCTCTTGCTTTTTATTGGGGTAAATATATGGTTTCAAGTTTTAAACTTAAAGTATGTATGAAAGATAGCATTCAGAGGAACTGCAGTGTGGGTGACAAGGATAGAAAATGGGCCTGGGATGAAGAGTTAATGAGATTAGAATCATTTTGCCTGGAATAGTAGCCAAGAGGTGTTTGATTGTGATATTTCCGTGTATGAAGTGTCATGATACAGAAGTATGACTAGCAGATGTATGTATCTGCAGAAGCTAGAGCAGGAACAAAGGAGTTTAACGTTCATTATTGAAAAGAACTTGCTGCTTGGAAGCAGATGGATTCCCAGACAGTGGTTCTTTTTCACTAGAAGTCATAGGTGAATTTTTAAAGTTATTTTCAAATAAATTCAAGTTTTCAGAAAAGTTGCACATATAGGATAAAGACTGGCAATATTCCCTTCACCCAGGTTCTTCAACTCTTAACATTTTATTATGTTTTCTTTTTCTCTATCTACCTATATAAAATCACTAGCCTTTTCTGAACCATTTGAGAACTGTGGATGTGATGCCCCATCACTCTTAAAAAGTTTAGTGTCTATTTCCAAAAAACAAGGATGCTCTCTTATATGATCACCATATAACCCTCACAAGCCAGGAAATTAATATACCCATCTACATGTTAATATACCCAACATTAATATACCAATCTACAGACCCCAGTCAAATTTCACCAACTGCCCATTTCACCAGCTGTCCTAACACTTGCTTTTTTTCTTTTCTGGTCCAGGATCCCATCTTGAACCTATGTTGCATGTGGTTGCCATGTCTCTGCAGTCTCTCCCAGTCTGAAACTTCCTTAGTCTTTTCCTATCTTTCGTGTTCCTGACAGTTTCATAGAATACAACTTTCATTCCAGAGAGTGACCCTCAGGCTGGGTCCATCTGATGTTTGCTCATGGCCAGACTCTGGTCATACTTTCTTAGCAGGAATACTGCAGAAGTGAAGCATGACATCAGAGGCACAAGGTCATAGATACATTTCAGGGTCTTTCTGCTCTCATAACTTAATGATAAATGGCTCACACTGTCCAGTCATTCATTCTTCATGAACTAAGTATCCTACTGATCACTGAACCTTAGTAAGGTAAAAAGTGACACAAAATTTTCCAACATGGAAGCAATTATATGAGGTGTGATTAAAAAAAAATACGGTGAGTATTTAAATAAAAAAAAAAATAGGGCCGGCCGAGTGGCTCAGTTGGTTAAGAGCTCGCTCAAGAGTTTGAGCTCTGAGCAACAGCAGTTTGATTCCCGGCCCGAGTTGAGCAGCTGCTGAGCTGCCAACAACAGGTGGCAGGATGGCTCAGCTTAAAAAGAAAAAAAAAATTAATACAGTAAAAGATATATTGCCATTAATCCCCTTCAGAGTACTCCCCCTCACTTTGAACTTGCTTATCCCATCATTCTTGCCACTTTCTGAAGCAGTTCTGGAAGTCCTCTTTCATGAGTGTCTTCAGTTGCACTATCTTGGTTGCCTTGACATCCTGAATCAATTCAAAATGTTTACCTTTGGTCAGTTTGACTTTGGGGAAGAGCTAGAAGTTGCCTGGTGCTAGATTCGGTGAATAAGGTGAATGAGGATACACTGTAATGTTTTTATTTGACAGAAATTGCGGTACCAGAAGTGATGTGTGCCATGGAGCTTTTTTGTTGTGATCACAAAACACGGTGATGCTGCTGCCCAGTGCCATGCAACAGAAAGGCAGGGATCTTCAATATGGGAAGTGGCGCGTTGAACCTTAGTAACTGTGTGTGACAAGTTTCAACTTGTTCGGTGCAGTCAGTCAGGGGTGAGCTATGGTTGAAAGAAGGTGTGTTTTGAAGTGTGCTGTAAATCATCCTCCATCATAACAATGCTGCATCACACATCACTTCTGGTGCACGGCGATTTCTGTCCAATAAAAACATTACAGTATGGGAACACCGTACTGGTTCCCATAACCAACGCCGTACTGGCGCGTTGGTTAAGAGCTGGCTTGGGTCACCAGCTCTGAGCATCAGGGCTCCGGTTTGGATCCCACATGCAGGCAATGATGCCGCGCCCTCTATAGCTAAGATGGTGAACAACAGCTCGACCTGGGCTGGGCTGCTGCGAGTTGCCAGCAATAGCTTAGGCTGCAGTGGGGCTGGCTGGCAGCTGGTGTGTGCTTTTGTGAGCTGCCATGAGCCCCCATGAGTGGCGGTCCAATGGTCAGTGGGTGACTTCCTTACCCGGGAAGAAAGCAATGATAATACCAACATGGGCCAGTGAAGCAATGTCCTCCACAACTAGACTGAAGAAAAAAAGGACAGCAACTTGTCTGTTCCCCTTCCCCAATTCCCCAATGCTGTTCCCCTCCTCCAATTCCCCAATAAAATCTTAAAAAAAAAATTGCAGTGTGCCCTCATCCACCTTATTCACCAGATCTGGCGCAGTGGGACTTCTGGCCCTTTCCCCAAATCAAAATGATTCAGGACATCGAGGCAGCCATGACAACACAAGTAAAGACACAAAAGAGGACTTCCAGAACTGCTTCAGAAAGTGGCAAGAATGATGGGATAAGTGTGTTCAAACTGAGGGGGAGTATTTTGAAGGGGATTTATTGCAATGTGTCCTTTACTGTAATAATTTTTTTTTAATTTAAATATTCACCGTATTTTTTTATCACAACTTGTGGCTCCAGGGAATAACAGTTAGTGACAAATCATGGTGCTGTTACAAAGTTATAAAAGAAATTCCCCCAAATTTAAAGTAACAGTGTTAGGGGACCTGGTCTTCGTTAAATATTAGTGAGACAGGTTTACTTTTCAGAGACCTTTTCTTAACTCAGCCACTAGGCTCTGCCCAGGCTTGTTTGGTTGGAAGCAGAGCAAGCCACCAGTCCAAGATAAATTTGTGGAAGTATCATGTCCAGTCCTGGTGGAACCCCCATTGCTCAAGTCCTACCATCTCAAAGAAGTCTGGCTATATTATATTTTATATATTTATCTCGTTCATTGTCTGTCCTTCCCCTTAGAATTTCAGCTGCCTGAGGACAAAGTTCTTGGTTGCCTTGTATACCATGTTAATCTCTAGGCCTACAGCAGTGCCTGACTCATCATGGCACTCAAGAAATACTTGCAGAATGAATCAACCTGGTTCCCAGGCTTTTATTATTGCCTTTCCCCACTTACTTTGAGAATCTTGTTCTTTTTGCTTCATATTGGTATCCTCTTTGCTTTTTAGACATTCCTGGTGACTGCTAAGTATTTTTGTGTCTTGAGTTTCAAATGCAGCTGGCCATTTTCTGCCCTTAGACCAGAGACGCATTCTCACAAAGGTGTGATTTCAAAGGAGATCATGTTATAAATCTGACAGTGTAATTATTCATAAAATATTTTCTTTCTGAACTTTAGTGAAAAGAAGAGATTGGAACTGGAACAGAAACTTTATGAATATAATCAGTCTGATATATACAGGTAAGATATGACAGTGGTAACAGTTTTTAAAGCAATTTGCATATGTTAATAAAAATTTAACCCTAATGTATGTTGTAAATACCATAGTTGCAGTACTTTTATCATTCTCTTATTTCTAATGTGTAATGGTTTCAAGTAAATGCTTCAATTTAATATGACTATCAAATGTAAGAATAAATTTGGTTAAAATTAGTATAAGATAAAAGTTATTTTATTTTAATTATTTGGTATTTGTGTTATTTCAGGAATCTATTTTGCTTAAATATCTTAACAATAAGACACATTATTGTTATTGTTATTTTTCTGGTCACAATTTAAACACATTAAGCCTATATAGCGATTAAGGCAGAATTACTATAGCTGATCTTTCAACAAACTATTGTAGGCAGAGTTATGTGATGTCTCATTTGTCCATGGATATATGACAGTGACTGTTAAAATTATAATGAATAGTAGATAATATACATGTTATCCATTTTAGGTTACTTACTCTAATATAAAGAACAAACGTTTATGGATGAAAAAGGTGAAGGGATTAAGAACACAAATTGGTAGTCAAAAAATAGTGACAGAGATGTGAAGTATAGCATAGAGAATATAGTCAATAATACTGCAAAAACTATGTATAGTGCCAAATGGGTACTAGACTAATCGGGGATCACTGCATAAATTATATAAATGTCTAACCACTATGCTGTACACCTGAAACTAATATAAAATAATATTAAGTGTCAACTATAATTGAAAAAAAATAAAAAAACAGCAAACTTAATATTTTTAATTCTATTTTATGGAAGCTGAACTTAACACTTAAGCCAAATGTGTGGTGTTACCTCCAGTATTATCTATATGAAAATTTTCTGGCTATGATAGTACTAAATTTGTGATTTATCTGTATCATAATATGAGTGAAAAATGAGAAATGGCTGCCTGATGTGAGCCTCTTGAAAACTCCCCTGAAATTTACAATAAATTGAGCAACTGTAATTCCACAAATGACTCCCTGCACAGAAGACAGGCAAGCCTAAGAGACACACAACTGAAATCATCTAAAGGTGGGCAAATTGGGATAGCGGGGGAGGAGGGAAAGGGGAAGAACAGGACTGGCCGCAGTACACAGACCGGAGCTCAGAGCTCCCTGCATTCCAGAGCTACAGCGATCGCGGTAGAGGGAAGTATTCGGACAGCTTGGGCTCCCCTTATGGCCCACAGTCCCACCTGAGGGATCAGGATATAACACAGCTGAACCCAACGCTCATGGCAGAGACCTCAGAGCAAAGACTGAGGGAAGAAGGGTGAAAATGGTGGTTTAAGCCCTCACTGCCAAGCAGAGGATGGAAGGCATAGGCACAGAGCCTAGCTGTCTCCTCCCCACCCTCCCAGAGCTCGCACCACCCCCACCTGCCCAGTGCTAGAAGCGGAGCAGTAGCAGTGTCAGATCAAAAGAACAGAATATTTGCAGTTCTGAGAACTGCAGCCCTGCAGCCACAGACTCCCAGCCCAACTAGTGCTGGTGGAGGGGAGAGAGCCTTGGTTGGGTGCAGGATGGGCTGTGCTGATAGTCGCTGCCATTGCTCAAAGCCACCTCCCAGAACGCATCCTGCCCCTGCCCCCACCTATCTGGACTGATCCCTGCAGGGGTAAACAGAGCCGCTGAAAAACACAGGCCCTGAATCTGGTGCAGGAAAACATTTGGAACTTCAGAAGCTCTCCACATCCCCCAACGGAGGTGGTGCCCTCAGACTCAGGTGACCTGCTCACAGAGGAGAAGCCCACCTTCCAGGGAATCCCACATTGTGTGAGAAGGCAGAACAGAGTGGAGGAAATATAACACTACAGTGTGAGAGAGAATAAAAGGCTGCAGTAGGAGAGAAAGCATTCTACCAACACCTACTGGAAAGCAAAACAAAGACCTCTTCCTACCAGCCTGTTGAAGAATCCACTCCTGTAAATTCCTAGGAAGAGAAATAGTAATTCAATAATTGCCATGAATAACAAGGTAACAAGGCAGCTCAGAAAGAAAATGAAAAGTCTCCAGAAAATGAACTTAAAGATATGTAAGTATGTGCCTCAAATGTCAGAGAATTCAAGATTACAGTTCTTAAAAACCTCAACCAGATGCAAGAAAACACAGGCAGTTTAATGAACTAAAAAACACAAAGAACAAAATGAACATTTTACCAAAGAGATTGAAATTTTTAAAAAGAGCCGAATATAATTTCTGGAGATTAAGAACTCAATAAAAGAAATAAAGACTGAAATAGCCAGCTTAGGTAACAGAGCTGACCAGGTTGAGGAAAAAATCAGGGACATCGAAGATAGAAATCTGGAAATGACACAGATGGAAGAAGAGAGAGACTTGAGAGTTAAATGAAATAAAAGAACTCTACAAGAACTTTCTGACTGCATCAGAAAGAGCAATATAAGAATAATAAGCATACTAGAAGAAAAAGAAAGGGAGAAGGGAACAGAGAAAATATTCCAACAAATAGTCAACGAGAACTTCCCAAACATGGGAAAGAATTGGATCCTTGACTCCAAGAAGCAAATAGAACACCTAATTACCTCAATCCCAACAGGCCTTTTCCAAGGGACATTGTATTGAAGCTGTCAAAAATTAACAACAAGGAAAGAATCCTCAAGGCGGTAACCTACAAAGGAAAGCCCATTAGATTATCATCAGATTTTTCAGCAGAAACTCTACAAACCAGGAGGGAGTGGACTCAAATATTCAAACTATTGAAAGAGAGAAATTATGAACCAGAATAATATATCTAGCAAAGATATCCTTTAGACATGAAAGAGGAATAAAGACCTTTCCAGACATACAGAAGCTGAGAGAATTTTCTAACAAATGGCCTACACTATAAGAAATACTGACGCAGTCTATTCGACCTGAAACAAAAAAGCAAAAGAATACAAAACATGAGTAGCATTACAAACAGACAGACAGAAGCAGGAAATGGCAACGCCTACACCAAATGAGATACTATTCATTTAAACATAATATTCAGGGTAAAGAAAAAAAAAACACTTAAAAAAAGAGGAAAATGAAAATTTATTGCTGCAGCGCAGAAATCAACTCACAGCATAAATAGGGATAATTTGTGACAACAGAAACATACAAGGGGAAAGAGTAAAGGTCTGGACCTGCAAAAGGGAATGGAGAAAGGAAGCATGCTGAAGAAAATAGAATACTCTAAATATGAAACTTTCTTTTACATAAACTTTTTTTAAAACAAATAATGTCTGTTTTTTAATAGTGTATTTTTTTTAAAGATTTTTATTGGGGAATTGGGGGGATGGGAGCAGTGCTGGGGAATTGGGGGAAGGGGAACAGACAAGTTGCTGTTGTTTTGTTCTTCAGTCTAGTTGTGGAGGACGCTTCACTGGCCCAAGTTGGCACCATCATTGTGCTCTTCCCGGGCGAGGCAGATCAGTCGCCGGCTTCTGGACGGCTGCTCACTGCGGCTACTGGCTGTTCACGCTGGCTGCTGGCTACATACGGTAGCCCATGGCAACCCACTGCAGCAGGGGCTGCAGCCTACCCGTTGCCGGCAACTCCCGGCAGCCCAGCTCCAAGTTGAGCTGTTGTTCAGCATCTTAGCTGTGGAGGGCAGTGTCACTGGCTCTCATATGTGGGATCCGAACCGGGGCCCTCTGGCGTCCCAAGCCAGTTCTTAACCATCGCTCCACTCGGCTGGCCCTCTTTTACATAAACTTAATGGTAACCACTCAAAAAAAAATATCCAGAACTCAAATATACAACATAAAGAAAGAAGAAGCAGAAAGAAAAATCATAGAATACAACCACACTGAAATAACAGACAGCAACAAAAAGGCAAAGAAGCAATGGAGACGCTGTCCTACCAGAAAACCAAAGATAGAAATCCTCATATATCAATAATCACCCTACATGTAAATGGACTAAACTCACCAATAAAAAGGCACAGACGGGACAGCCGGTTGTCTCAGGTGGTTAGAGTACAGGGCGTGGTGCTCATAACACCAAGGTTGCCGGTTTGATTCTGACATGGGCCACTGATTTGCCCTCCACAACAAGAGTGAGAAACAACTACTTGACTTGGAGCTGATGGGTCCTGGTAAAACACACTGTTCCCCAATTAAAAAAAAAAAAGGCACATAGTAGCAGATTGGATCAAAAAACTAAACTCAACTATATGCTGCCTCCAAGAGACACATCTCAGCTGCAAGGACCAATATAGACTCAAAGTGAAAGGGTGGAAATTGACACTCCAAGCAAATGGTATTCAGAGAAAAGCAGGTGTACCTATACTGATATCAGATGAAACTGACTTCAGGATAAAAAAGGTAACAAGAGACAAATAGGGACATTTCATAATGATACAGGGGACTATACAACAAGAAGACATAACAGTCATCAATATGTATGCCTCCAATCAGGGAGCACCAAAACATACAAAACAACTGCTAACAGAACTAAAGGGAGAAATTGACCAAACACAATTATAGTAGGGGACCTAAATACATCATTGACAGCTATGGATACATCATCCAAACAGAAGATAAATAAAGAAATATCAGCCCTAAATGACACATGAGATGAAATGGACATAATTGACATTTATAGAGCACTCCATCCTAGAACATCAGCCTATACATTTTTTTTCTAGTGTTCATGGAACATTCTCAGGATAAACCATATATTGGGACATAAAACTAGCCTCAGCAAATTTCAGAAGACTGAAATCATACCAAGCATATTCTCTGATCACAAGGCTTTGAAATTGGATATGGACTGCAAAAAGAAAGTGGGAAAAAGCACAAATATGTGGTGATTAAACAACATACTTTTAAAGAACGACTGGGTCAAAGAAGAAATAAGAGGAGAGATCAAAAGATACATAGAAACAAATGAGAATGAAAATACATCCTACCAAAATTTGTGGGATGCAGCAAAAGCAGTTTGAAGAGGGAAATTTAGGTCATTACAGGCCTATCTCAAAAAACAAGAAAAA